TAAGTGAAACTTGAATGAGAACGGACAGTGTTGTGGCTGGAAATGCCTTGACACACATCTTAGCCTTTCTGATGTATTTCAAATGCATAAACCTGCAGGAACTGTAGTGAGCCCCGTGTTAGGATGGAACAATGTTTTTCTTTGGCTAGTTCCAATTCCAGTGAGAGAGGATTCTATAGGAGTGTGTGAAAGTCTTTTTTTTTTTTTTTAAAGGAAATTCTTCTTAATACTGGTAATGGAAGAAAATACACAAGCAGATAACAAACCCAATGGTTTGCTTAAAATGTGGATGAGAACATGGGGTGAAGCAGATGGATCATTAGGCTTTGAGGCTGTGACATTTGAAAGCCAGAGTTACATTTTCTTTGAAACTGTGAATAAACAGCTTGGGAATAGTCTGGGATGTTCTTTTCTGATTTTGATTTCATTTTATTTGTCTCTGAACTGAAAGGCAAGTGATAGTTAAATTGTCCTATCTAATGATTATGCTGAAATGTATTACCTTTAAAATATTTTGACCCATTTGTAATTGATTTCAGTATAACTAGAATCTAAGTTTATAAAAGGTCCATTTAAAGACCTAAATTCTTGCAGTTGTTATGGGACTACACTCCTGATTTAAGTTCATCTCATAGAATGTTATTCATGACATGTATTTGCATAACTGCATAGCATCTTAGAGCTGGAAGGAACATAGCAATGTGAAAATAAAAGAAGACCAGACAAATGAAAACGGGCAGAGATTATTTATTCAGAGCTTGCATTTGGCAGAGACTCAGAGGCAGACAGAGGAATGGGAAAGCAAAGTGGAAAAAGAAATGTTAAATTTAGCCTAAAGATGCCTCCCTACAATCTAACTTAGTGTATAAACAAACTGCAACCTAACTTAAGATTATATACTTATAACAAATAGCAAAGCCTAAGCCAATCATAGCAGCCAAGCTTTGAGCTAATCACAGGCTATAACTGCCAAAACATGTCCAATGCTGGAAATGTAGCAAATTTCTGCATGTCATTTTCTTTATCCGACTATAAATACTGCCTTATCCGCCTATAAATACTGCCTGCTCACATCACTGAATGAAGCTCTCTGAAATTTTACTGGTTCAGGTTGCTGCCCAATTCATGAATTATGTCTTTGCTTAGGTGAATTCTACTGAATTTAATTTATCTGAAGTTTTCCTTTTAACATAAGGAAGGCTTCAGGTATGCCCTGACTGCAGGCTCTCAGCCTGGGGAAGTGGGAATTATGCTAACCAGAAATAGAGCCTGGCCTGTGATTGGTTAAATGTGTGTATTTGTCTTTCTTTAGTTTGTTCTTAGTTGGATGCTGGAGCAAAAATTGTGAAAAATGACTCATTTTTAGTGCACTTGTATTAGGTTCTTATTATTGTGACCAAAATACCTGACATACACAACTTAAAGGAAAAAAGTTTTATTTTGGCTCACAGTTTCAGAGGTTTCAGTCCAGGGTCATCTGGCTTCCTTGCTTGGAGCCTGAGGAGAGGCAGGACCTCATGGCAGAGGAAAGCTGCTCAGCTCATAGCATGTCCCTGCTCTCTCTCTGTGCTTGGAAAGCAGGGAGAGAGAAGGTACATGCAAAAAGAAGCAGTTTTCTAGGTTATCCCCCCTCTCTGAAACCAGTTCCCTTCAACTAGGCCCCACATCCCACAATTACCACGACATTCCACTATTGCAAAGCTCAGGTCTTCTGTGTGACTGAGGCAGCACGAAGACCTCCCCTTCAAACCCCGATTCTTGCTATCAAGTTAGAAGGATTTCAGATATGTTGCTCAGAGTAATGGGATTGACTTTATTGAAGGGTTAGGAGAAAGGAAAGGGGACACTCTCAAGGGAGAGAGTGAATTCTCTCAGAGAGGAGAGGAACAATATACCTCTTCTGCACTGTAGTTTTATTAGGGATCCCAGAGAAGTTTCCAGAGAGTCCTGCCCAGGTCCACCTCTTGACTTTTGACTGACAGCAAGATGGTATCAGATTTTCAAGTACCTATTGCTATGACAATTCTAGGTTCCCTTGGCCCATGCTGAGTAGTTCTTATTGAATTCTTCACCATACCTTCTTATAGATTCTATGGTTAAAATGAATTATCCTTGTCTTCTGGAATATGGTCAATGAAAAGGATCACAGGAGCCTCTCCCTTCAGAATAACTTGTGTTTCTCTTATTGTCCTTATTTCATGCCTGCATTCCCTTGCAGATAACAGGTAGTTTGCTGAGGTTTGTGACATATCCTGCCTACTTAAGCCAGGCAGGGCTTCAGATAAATTGCTGTATGGCAAAGAAAGTATGTGGGGGTCATCATGGGTGAGACAATATTTTGGAATTATTCTCTTAACCTCATGTTCCCACCATCCTCTTCTGTCTGTCCCCTAATATCAATAGTCCATTCAAATTATTAATTCATCAAGTGGATTAATCCACTAATGAAGTCAGAGTCCTCATGATCCAATCATTTCCTAAAAGCCTAATCTCTGAACATCTCCTTCAACAAAGGAGTCTTTGGGAGACACTTCATATCCAAATCGTATCTCTAGTCTTGAGCCGTTGAGGCCAATTGTTACATGGGCTACTGTTTGGCTTCTGGATTAGTAGCTAGATAGAGTGGTCTAACTTTCTACCAGTCTGGCTTTTACTGCAGAGATTAGCTTCCTGGGCAGGTTATTACAGATAATGGATTAGAGTTCTATTTTTATATGTGATCTGGGAACTTTCCATTTGTACATACCATTTCTTAATGATTATATAGTTTAAATGTAGAAAAATTAAATTCATAAAGGAGCAGGGTTATTATTTATTTAAATGAATATTACTTTTATTTGTGTGTCACTTTTTAGGTTCCAAAATGCTTAAAAATGTAGAATATTGTTAAATTATTCAAATAAAACCAAAGAAGTTAGGCAGGGCTGGCATCATCCCATTTTTGTACTTCTGAAAATGAGGCTCCTGGAGGAGAAACCAGATGTTACATCACTGGGGTCACCCGGCAGGGCTGCAGAGCAGAGGCCTCTGAGACTCCTGATCACAGCTGCTCGGTATAGCACAACTACTGTTTTTCCTACAGATTCAGATGATGGGACCACAGTGTGACATTTGTGCTGTCACCCTGCTGAAAGTTGATGAGTATTTGAACCTAAAAGTAGAAACAATAGAATATGGGTGCTCTGAATCATTTCTGTGGCCTTGAGTCATTCACTTTGGTTTTTCTCAGAAATTCATTTTTTGAGTTAAACGCAAAACTTGAATTTTACAACTTGTGATAATCAGATTTTGAAAATATTATCAGCTGCATGCCCCTTTAATTCATTTATTATCACTTGATGCTCTTGTTCCAGTGTGTTTCCTACACATATCAGAACAATGCCTAAAGAGTTGAGAAACCTATTAAATAAATGAATTACTTTAATGAAATATCTATTGAAAAGAATGCTAGGTGCTAGGAAAGTGAAAACTAGCCTCCAAGAACTCCATAGCCTTTTGAGGAGAGCAGATAGATACAGAGATACGTAAGGCAAGGTCCATGAACAGATGACCATAACCAGGTGGAGGGAGTGAGCTTCAAGAAAACACTTAAATTGAGTAACCCATTGAGTAGTTACTGAGCACAGACAAAATTTATATATATTTAAGCAGGAAAGTTTGTAAGTAGTTGTGAAAGACAGCATGTATTTCTTGGAGGTAGAGAAGGAAGAAGAAGCTGTAACCATTTTAGTAATGTTGATTGAGTAACAGTGATCAATAGAGAGTGACAAAGTTAGGAAAGGAAGAGCAAGTTGGCAAAGATTCTTGTGGGCCATAGTAAGGAGCTTAGTCAGTACCCTGTGGTAACTGGAGGCTTCTCAAAGGATTAGATTTGCATTTTAAATAGTTGACTTTGGCAGTATAAGGAGTTCGTACTTGGAGGAATCAAAGACAGAGTCAAGTTGTAATAATTCAAAGGAGATGATTAGAGCTTGAACAGGAACAGTTGAGGTAGATATGATACAAAGTAGAAGAGAAGGGGAAACAAGACATTCAGAAATAAAATCTGCACAATGTTCTGCTGATGGGTTTGGACAGTAGTAATTAAAGAACGGGAGATAAAAACTTATAGAACAGATGGTTAGCTGGACAGGAGGGACTACTAGGTTAAGGAGAAATGTTATCTGTTCAGTATCTGAAATGTTGCATTTGTGTTATCCACAGCAGATCTGGATGGACTTATTTAACAGGTAGTTGGATAAATGAACTGAAATCTAAGAAGAGTTGTCCAGGCTTCTGATAAACTATCAATGATCACTAACGTTCAGATGATTGCTAGCTGAGCCCCGCGGAATAAAATCATGGAAAGAGTGTAGAGAGAATGAGAAGGATTGTGGCTAAGCTTGTACCTTTGAAAAACTAATGTATCAGGGATGTGTGGAGGAAGAGAAAGTATTTTGTATTGATTTCTACAAAAAGGGCGTTAGACATAGATAACCAAACGCTGGAAGAGGAAGCATCAGTGAAAGCAAAAGAATCAAACATGCACATCGATGAGTGATGGAGAAATTGTCACTGAATGAAAATGTTTTTTAAATTCATTAACTAGAAGGTGCTAGGTGATCTTAGAGAAAATAGTTTTTGTGGAGTGGTTGGGCTGATTCAGGTCACAGAGGGTAGTAAAGTAAATGAAAGATGAGAAAGTCAATAATAGATGTAAATTGTTCTTTAAGAAATGTCCTTAAAGATGAGCACAAGGGAAGAGTTATTAAAGAAGACTTGAGTTTCATTTTGCAAAGAAAAAACCATACTCCCTCTGGTGATATTGACCTATTCACCTGAGAAAAAGATCTCATGGGATCTGTGTCCCTATTACATTTAAATATTATAGTTACCAACACAAGTATAAGTTCTCTACAACATATTGGAAGTGTTTTAGAAAGCAACTTTTTAATTTCTTAAAAGAAATTTAGGAAAGATTTGGCTTCTGTTTAATGGAAAGTATTTTTGTTAATCCACAGAATCCACAGAGGAGCTGAAAGTCCGAAGTCATAGCACAGAGCCACTGCCCAAGTTGGAAAGCAAAGAGAGAGGGCACCATGGGTCATCATCCTCCAGAGAGCCTATCAAAGCTCAGGAATGGGATGGAACACCAGGTCCACCTGTGGTCACCAGTAGGATGGGAAGGTGCTCTGTGAGCCCCACCTTGTTGGCAGGAAACCACAGCTCAGGTAAGTAGGATTATGATTTTCACGATGGTAATTCTTTATATTTCTAGAAATTCTGCTCTCATGCAAATACTACTTAGAGAAACATCACCACAGAAACATCTGCCTCCACTCAGAGAGAGAGTGTAGGCCTTCACATGAAGGAGTGCACAGTGTATTGTACCACTCCAGGGTCCTTCTTTTCACAGAGATGATAGGTAAGTAAATAGTGCCACTGGAGCCCTGGGAAGCAGCAGCCTGACAGCTTGAAAAGTTTTGTGCTAAATTTCTTCAAACACCTCTAAAGGCCTCCAGTAAAGTAGACTTTAATTTTAAAAGTTTGGTTTAGTATTTATGCCTCCTTTGCTTAAAAAATATTTTGGGCAACTGGTAAAATTTGAACAAGATAAAACTGAAGATAGCAATGGGATGAAGATGATTAAAAGCAGTAGAAAGAGTAGATATTTTGAGCTGAGAACAGTAACTGGGCATTGCACCTAGTCTTCAAATCTAAGTCAAAAGAGAAATTTTTAATCTAATATGCCGCTAAATTTCACATCTTGAAATTAATAGTATGCAATGCAATTTTGCATGGTTAATAGATCAATATTATTATACAATCAATTTTTAACAGCAGCATATGTCTGCTTTGAACTGATTAATACACATGCTGTTCTCATAGAGAGCTGACAATTGAAATGAACTGCAAATAATCAAGGAACCTTCTGTAGTTTTCAGGTCTGTATTCCTTCAGAGTGTTAGGGCTCTAAAGAAAAGATCAATCCTTTAATTTTTTTTCAACTTTGATACTCACCTTAGAAAGCAATTTACATGAATTTAGCCTATGGTCTCTCTGACACTCATGCATATGTTAAAATTTTAGCAGGATAAATGATTCTTGGTGTGTGATACTGCTGAAAACATTCCCAGTAATATTTCCTACAGCCTCAAAAATCCAACTTAGTTTTGATGGTGGAACCAAAGAATGTTATCATGTGGAAAACTAACATCACAGCCTATGTTCAAATCTGATAAGAGACGTGTGCCTTTAGCAGAAATTTTAAAAGACATTTTTTAGTAAAGTGTAAATTGCTATAGATGAATGAGAAGATATTTGCATATCTTGTCAAAAAGAAAGAGGGAGCAAATGATTTTATTACCACCTAAAATGATTGATGTCACTTATTGACTGAGCCTTATTATTAGTTTGGGGCTTATTATTTTTTTAAAGAATTTTCTAAATTTATACCAGTTCTATTTAAAATATGTAAATAACATAATATATTGTGACCACAGGTATATTTTAGGAAAAACAGAAGTATTACCTGAGTGCTAACAGTGCAACAGCTACTATTTAAGGGTATGAAGATTCAATGATGAGTAAAATATTCTTGCATTGGGTGTTCAAGGTCTGGTGCAAGAAAGACAAATAGAAAATTACAATGTAATGTGTTTTAGAGTACTGAGAGAAAAAGAACAATAAGATATTTATAGGTATATAGAAAGAGATTTATTATGAGGGGTTGGCTCACATAATTAGGTAGGCTTAAAAGTCCTGTGATGTGCCACCTGTAATTTGAAAATCCAGGAAAGCCGATGGGTGTGGTTCAATTTGATCTCAAAGCTATGATATCCATGTAAGTCAATGTTGCAAATCTCAATCTGAGTCCAAAGGTTTAAAAAAGAGAGTGCTGATTTCCAAGAGCAAAAGATGGATATCCCAGCTAAGTAGAGAGAGTGAATTAATGGAACCAAGTGTGTTTATTGTAAAGGACAGGGGAAGGTCAGTTGAAGAAAACACAAATGTTTGTGCAATGTTCCTGAAGGGCCTTGCATATTAATTAGAAATGCTTTCAGCTACATAGCACAAGCCATCAGGGTCTTTTACAATAATGGCCTTTGTTAGCTCCCTTTGCATCAAGTTTGGAGGTCAACTGTGCAGCTGTTTTGCAGTGGGTCAAGGATATCATCAAGGACCCAGGAACTGTGTGTGCTCTATTTTTCTCCATTTCCTCTTCTGCTACCCTTGAAGATTGTTTTCATGATCTCAGCTGAACACATGTGTTTGGGCACGATGCCCCAGCAGACTCTGTCCCTTTCATCTAATTGATCAGAAATTGGAAACATGCTTCTGAGACCAACCACTTAGTGAAAGGGATGGGAGTTCCTGGGCTTCTTCAAATTCTTTTCCCCTCTGAATCAAGATTTTCTATCTGATATCTATAAATAACAACAGTGTATTTGCAGGCATAAGGGGCATAAGCAATGGACAATATCTGCCACATCATTATTAGGTTTTGACCATTTATGTAAAGGATCTTTTAAAGGTAGGAATAATTCAATTTGGTTTGCATCATAGAAGACTCAATGAGCACTCCAAGGCTTTAAATGTGGGTGGTAGGAAGGCCATTTACTGAGACAAGGATAGTCCATATGAAACATGGAGCAAGGTTTAGAAGGGAATATCAGAACTTAAATTTTGACCATGAATACCGTTGGACATGCTCTGGACACATAATTGAGAAGACAATTGGAATCATAGGACTGAAGTCAGGGAGAGGAGGTGTGGCTCAGTAGTGGGACTAGAGAACTTTGTAGTGATTAGAAAGTAAACTGGAAAAGCCCAAATTAGAAGAGAAGAAAACTGAAACGAGAAAGAAATTAAGTTGGGATCCTGGAAAATCCAAACATTTCACATGAGGGCAAAAACAGAAGAATCTGGGGGATGAATTGAAATGACACACTTACATGAGGAGTTGGCTCACATAATTAGGTAGGCTTAAAAGTCCTGTGATCTGCCACCTGTAAGTTGAAAGCGTAGGAAAGCCGATGGTGTGGTTCAATTCAATCTCAAAGGTATGATAACCATGGAAGTCAATGTTGCATTACAGACCTAATCGGTAATGAAACCCTTACTCAACACTTAATAAGTTGCATAAAAATTGGTAAATATAAACCTTTAGTGTCTCCAACACTTTGACATGAATCTTCGAAGACATTCAGAGTGTAAACAATTATGCCATAGTGTTACTTTCTTTTGCCTCAAACCCCTGAAGCTTCTGTTTTGTTTTACAGCATCTAAAGTCTGCCCTTCTGAGTCTTTAGCTCTGTTTATAGAGCAATAAATTGTCTACTAACCAGAAGAAATGACAAAAGTATTTTCAGTCCCTCATGCTCCCTGCTTTAGATTCTGAAACAGTTAGATAAAGGTGGAGGAAGAAAATATTTTTGTTAAAAATTGTGTTATCAAGTTGTTGTATCCCTAAAAGATTCCAAATGTTGAGACAATGTGGCCACATACTTAATATCACTGCAAGTCAGAGTGTCTTGAAAGAGCTACTCAATGACCTTTGTCATTACTTGGTTCTGTAGTTGATCCTTCTACCACTTTTGAGGAAGAAATGGAGAAAAGGGAAAAACATTTATTGTGTTGTTAGATTTAATTATTTTGAAGAGAAAGAATGAAAAATGTGCCAATTCTGTCCTAACAAATGCCATAATTCCTCTAGTGAGAATATATAAAATAGAGAATCTGAAGTTAACTTGTCTTTGTAGGTGAAGATGGCATTTTGAACTTGCTATTGTGGAACAGAGGAGAATAAGAAATGTTTTTCCTTCTTCTTTACACTTCTTCTTTATTATCTCTGGGTCATTGGGCCACTGAACAACTCATTCCCTACAAGAAACACCAGAACAGTAATCTGTCACCTTCTGCCTAAGCCACATAGGTGTCAACACCACACCCAACCCAGAGAGGAAAGAAGATTCCACATGTGAACTCCTCTTTCCTTTTTTCAATTTTCTCTCTCTCTCTCTCTCTCTCTCTCTCTCTTCCCCTCCCCACCACCACTCGCATACATACACATGCATACTTCTACCAGTCACAGACCGTTGCTTTACCAAAAGTAGTTTAGCCACTTGAAATGGTGTTGTAACGGCTCTTGTGAGGACTGAAGGATTGCTGAAGTAAAGCAAACATGTCAGGAGATCTCAATTCTAATTAACATTGCCGCTGGTTGCTGCTGCACTTTATTAAAGTTACTGTTGTTTAGTAAATCAGAGATTCCCCAGAGGGCGATTCTTGAAGGCAACGGGAAACTGGGACCCGAATGCTTGGAAAAATAATGGGAAAAAGTGGGGAAATTATTTAAGTAAATATGGCATTTACAAAAACTCAGATTTCAATCACTGAATCAATTAACAAGCAGTTTCCAAGCAGCTTGTATCCAGCTCTGTTATGGTTTCTGGGGGACATATATTCATAGTCACACACAGCACCATCAGCTACATAAAATACAATCTCTGCCACTCAGAGGTCTTACTCTGCTTCCTTATGGCTTAGGACTACTGTATGTACTTTAATTAGATTGTAATTAAATGTATTATTTTTATTATTGTCTTCTGTCTACTATACATTTAAAATCATTCAAAGAAAAAACTGTAATGCAGACTTGAAAAATGATACAGGGCTTAATAGGAGACATTAAGCCTTACACCAGGATTTCATCAAATCTTCTAAAAAATTATTATCATCAGCTGACTAAAAGAGAACCTCCCATGTGGAATGAAGAAGGTGAACCCAGGGTGGAAGAGCATGGGAGTGCTCATGAAATGTGTACACACATTCATGCGCATACACATACACACACATACACAAACACATACAGAGCTAATACTATAACATTTAAATCAAAGCAAGAATGAAAATCCCAAAAGTTGGAAGACTAAAGACTTTCAATGAATGTCAGCTTCTCTGGGCCCACCCTCATGTGCTTCTGCTGTGGTGAGCAGGTCTTGGTGCCAGCTGAGATGTCTGTAGGACGGACACACCCTCCAGCAGGTGGAGGGGAGAGGTGCCCCTGGTCAAAGCAGGCAGGCTTTCTCACAGAGGAAGCACATAGAAATGGATACCACTCTCACAAAAGAAAATAACTTACCATTTTTTTCTGAAACTTGAAACACTTTAATGTAAAGTATGTCTTCTCACATTTGGTGGAAGTATGAATATAAAAACCACTTTCTCT